TTTTTAACAAAATTGTCTTTTTCATTTGGCAGTCATTCTCTGCCATTCCGTGGTTCACCAGAAGTGCCCTCCCCAAAATGGATACATTCGTGCTTGCCTTAAAAGTAATGTAATTTCTCGTTTTGATCATTAATGACTGAATTTAAGCTTCACGCACTAACTAGCCTTTGCCTTAATATGTTAACCTTAACCGAGTTGGAAGCTCACACTCAGTATTATTGCAAAAAAAAAAAAGATAATGATAGTTCTCTTTTTATTTTTATTAAATTTGAACCACCTTAGTGTATTGTGGTATTGATACAGCATTATATCTTGCCTAAGCTATACATATGTTTTCTTTTTTTTCTTTTTTTCGTTCTGTATAGTGATTGATTTTATATTTTCCTTAATGGTGCAGGTGGTGGATTTGTGATAAGCCCAACGAAGCAAGGCAAAGAAAGTGTGGTGAAACACATGCTCTCGATTGATTGGAGGTCATTCAAATCCTATATAAGAAAATCATCAGCAAGATCTCTCACTATCCGCTTGCTCGGGAGAGTGGCAGGTATCTCACTTACTCCCGATAATCTCACTCTTTATTTCGTTTAATAATTGTAATATTACTTATTTTTTTTTTCATTTTTTGAAGCCTTAAGAGAGTATTTCAGTGCAAGAGCTGGAAATACTGGCCCCGAATTCCAATCAGGTGAGCTGATGATGGACATTAGAGTTCCTCGTGATGAAAAGGAGGAGATTAAAACAGAAATTGGAGTCAAAAGGATAAAAGATGACGAGGTATTCGAGAAAAATTCCGGGGATTCGAATCTCACTGGTTTAGATGATGCGTCCGATGAATTCTTTGACGTCCTTGAGCCGTCTGATCTGTTAGACAAAGGGTGGTGTTCAGACACAACAAGCCCGGATTCATCTTTTCTGGTGTTTTTTCTTCACTTCTTCCATTGTTTTTTTAAACCCTTACTAATTGACATTTTATAATTCAGTCCTTTGCCGCATTCTCATTATTTTATAATTGGCAAATCAAAGCTTTGAAGAGCCTCAAATTTGGCCTTTTGTCTCTTTTTCTTTTCTTTTAGACGAAAAATTATACTACTTGTAAATTTACAGTCTGAATTTCGACAGTATCTTATAAAGCACTCTTTTCCAATCTCAAATTTACAGGACAAGTACCAGCCGAAATTATCATCTGCCGCCAATTTTGTTAAAAAGCTGCATGGCATTGCTGGTAAGTTCATGCGTACATCTTATGATGTCATGGAGATCCAAATAGATGATTTATTACTTTCTTTCTTTATTTAAAAAAAAAATCCAGCGCAGAGAAAGGGTTACATGGACTTGCAACAAGTGATAACTCGGGAAGAAAGTGTGTCTTGGTGTTATGGTGCCACACTAACAAAAGACAGTTCTTGTAACATGCCATGTACATGGGGCCCATCTGATCCTTCCTCCTTCCTTATACGTGCTGATAATTATCTCATAGACCAGAAAAAGGTGATAAAATGCTGAACAAGTACACGTTTACTATGTTAGTCAGCTTCTGTGAGATTTTTTGTTTACCAAATATGTATGTATTTTTATCTCTTCCCTTTTTATCGTCAATCTAGAAATTAACTTTTCAGATGAAGGCGAAAGGCACATTAATGCAGATGGTGGCAGCTGATTGGGTAAGATCGGACAAACGTGAAGATGATATTGCTGGACGGTATGGAGGCATTGTTCAGGTATGTCACAACTCACATATTATGTTCCATAGGAAAATACTTAAAAGATTTTAAAAAAAAAGAACTAAATTTCTTTTATGGAAATTGTGTAGAAATATGCAGCTAGAGGTGGACCAGAGTTCTTTTTTGTAATTAACTTACAGGTAATGTTAATTTCTTTATTTATTTATTTTTTTTTTGTCTAATTTCTGACCATTAGAGCCAACAGTTTGTAAAATTTTCCCCCTTTTTTTGGTCACTAACTTGAAGATGAATATGTATGAATTTTTCTCTCGGTTTGGTTTTCTGTGTTATCAGATTCCTGGGTCAACAACATACAGTTTGGCACTATACTATATGCTAAAAACTCCCTTAGCCGAAACGCCTCTGTTAGAGCGTTTTGTTAATGAAGATGATGCCTTTAGAAATTCACGGTTCAAGCTGATACCATACATTTCGAAGGTCCGTATATTTTTAAACTTCAATACAATGGTATCCAACTCTTATTCATTGCTGCAGAAATATTTTCAAGTTTTGATAATCAAATTTTAAAGTTGCTTATATTTGTTCAAGTTTCAGAATTGATTTTCTTCACTGGCCTTAATTACATAGCCACAATTTATATACTATTTACAAATTTTGAGGTGATTTTTTTGTAGGGATCTTGGATTGTTAAGCAGAGTGTTGGAAGGAAAGCTTGTCTAGTCGGTCAGGCCCTCGAAATCAACTACTTCAGAGGAAAAAACTACATTGAGGTAAAGCTTCAATGAATCTTAAGCGAAGCACACAACACACACAAATGATACATATTTATACAGCAACAATGTTCTTTTCCTCTCTTTTTTCAAATCTTACATTTTACCAAAAATAATAATAATAAATAATAAAAATATATATTCAGCTCGGTGTAGATGTGGGGTCGTCAACAGTAGCGAGGGGTGTCGTTAGCCTTGTGCTTGGCTATCTCAACAATCTTGTCATAGAAATGGCATTTCTCATTCAGGTAATAAAAAAAAAAAA